GCGGAGATTCAAGCTGACTTGAAATCCCGTCACCAAGAGCATTCGGCTGAGGCCGTTTCTGCCTGGTTGAAAGTGATCGATGTCCATGTTTCCACCAAGGTGCTTGCCGGTTTGTTCCTTGTTCACTCAAGGATGCATGCGGCTGCTGGGTGTATTGCCTGTTTAGAATCTATGGATTCTGCGTTTGGCAACGAGCACTTTTTCGCTAACACCACCTGCCTTCAGATGATTACCCAACGGACCGCGGTTCCCAACAACTCCTTGTTGCAGGAAGCTCTCTTGTCATTTGTGGTGGAAGGCTTGTCGTTCCGAGCGCTGTGCCCCAACAACGGCCACCAGATTTGGATCGACCCAAAGACGACCAGGGCTTCACGACAGCATAATATATTAATAAAGATAAGAGGGTCTAATGATTAAAGCGATAATTATGAAGAATGGCTTTTTGTAGTTGGGTGACATGAATGATACAACTAGTGCTTATTGTTTGTTGTTGTTGAGCTGCTCAGGATAACCTGCTCAACAAGGTTGGGGTGGAACTGGCGATTCGGCGCATGATCCATTACCTCTCTCAGAAGGTATTCAATGCCGGCGATGGGAAGTCCGAAGTCAAGTTGATCGATGCCTTTGGGTCCTGGAGCAAGTACCGTGACGTGGTTCTGAACCAAGACAAGAAGAAGGCTTTTCTCGAGCAGCTGAATGCCATGGAGCGAGAGGCCTTCGTATTCTGCGCGGAACTGATGCGTGGCAGTTGCGTTCATCACGCCATCATCTCCACAGCTGTTGCCGAAGCCTTTCTGGTGCCCGCAGAGTTGATTTTCCAGCGGTCTGAGTGGCTCAAGGATGACGTGTTCGACCTGGAGGAGTTGCTCGAGCCACAGGTTGATGAGTCCATCCAGGCAGCAATGGAGGAGGCAGATGCCGCGGAAATTGCACCTCCAGCGCCTTCAGAGCCGAAGATCCCAGAGAAAGAACCCACATCGGCAGCACCAAAGACAATCACGCCAGATGAGGTGCCCGTGGTGCAGGAGGATGCACCGGCCCCGCCAGTGAAAGAACGAACCAGAGCCAGCTACTTCAAGGTCATCCAAATTCCACAATGGATGGAGGATTTGTTGAGCAAGGTCAGCATTGCCAGCTTCGAACAGGCCCTTGCACATGCTCAGACATGCGCGGCACCCAGTTCAGTGCAGTCAGAAGCTGTCGATCTAGTTCAACTTCTTTTGCTATTAAGTAAGAATGCATCTTGCTGCAGCATATCACGGACCAAGTTCATTTTTGCATCGAAGCCCTAGTCTCCAACACTTGCACTCATGAGTCCCAAGAAGAAGGTGCAGAAATCTGGCATGAAGCGACCTGCTGCTTCTAGGCCAAATTCGAACCGCGAGGCCACAGTGCAAAAGGTCGCAGTTCATTCTCGCTTCTGTTTGCGTGGCTTTATCGCGACCGTCATGCGGATCTTGAATATGACGCTCAGCCCCAGTATTCGTCCTATATGTATGGCCACAACCAATTCGGGGTCAGGAACTTAGCATGTTGTTGTGTTTGGCACAAGCCCTTGTTCCTATATCATTATCCGAGCCTGCGAAGATACCTGCTTTAACCAGTAGTCCAGGTCAGGGATGCCATCGATCGTTGCGAAGGAAATCCTTGGATGCTTTCTGGCATTTAACAGCTTTTGCCTAGTCGCGTAGTTGCGTGAGTTGTTGCCGTGGCCCAAGGAAAGAACATGATCGTTGAGGAAATCGCTGCAGAGATCGAGCCCAGTGCAGCATTCTGTCTGGGGTTGAACGCAGCTCCATCTCACATCTTCTGCGACAACAAGCAGGTAAAGCCCAAGGCCGACGTGTTCTGCTACGTTCATCAGGCCAAGTGCAAAGTCAGTGAAGGAGGTTTCGACATCTTTTGTTCGGGCTTCTCGTGCAAGGGGAACTCGAAACAGAATGCAAAACGGTGGGCAGAGGATCCCGTCAGCGAATCCGAGCATTTCGCTTCGTTTGAGGATGTTGAAACCTTCATCAAGCAGTTCTCGCCGATGGTTGTGATCTTAGAGAACGTACAAGGAATGCTGATGCCAAGGCAAAAGGGCGAGGATATGAAGGATACCGTCTTGGATACTGTGCTTCCTCGACTTGCAAAACTGCCTGGAGGTTACGGTTTCCAAGCTGTTCCGATTGATAGCATCTGTCTTCCAGATCCACGACCTCGTCTGTACCTGATCGGAACACACTCCAAGCTTGGACCCGGCGTGGAAAAGATTATATGCAGGAATATCAAGACAGTCTTGGATTCGGACATAACCAAGACGTTTCATCATTTGGATTCCTTCCTGCTGGAGTGCCCCCAAAAGAGTCCTTTCTGGCAGTCGATGGTTGCACCTACACTCTCGGAACAACAAAAGACCGAGAGGTTGGCCGAGTATCAGTCTGCCTTGTCCAAAGCCAGACAGCAGGCAGCACACAGATACACTGGGAAAATTCCAGAGGATCATGTGCTGCGGGTCGGTTCCGAGTCAAGTAAGTATGCTGCAGGAAAGACCCCGACGCAGCAGGCCCACATCGATATGTATGCAGAAATCACTGAGATGCTCCTGCAGGAGAAGAACGTGGATCGTGATGCAAAGGACACCCATCCGNNTTTCGCTTGTCATGAACTCGAATGATTCGTGTCCTTCTGAGTGCTCACTCCTGTTTCCATGGCAGTGCAACTTCAGTATATCCAAGGTTTCCCAGAGTTGCCAGCGTGGGGGCGTTAACTTCAATGGGCAGATCCCAACTGTGACCACAAGTACCCGCCTGTGGTCTTTCAAGGAGCACAGGGAATTGCTGCCCGAGGAAATGATGGCTTTCCATGGCTTGCCCAATTACAACTTTGGTGGATGTCACATGACGCAAGCACGAAGTATTGTTGGAAACTCGATGGCTTCGACAACCTTAGCCACAGTTCTTGTCCCAGTGCTGCAAGTATTGGGCCGTTTGATTCAGCGGAGCTGAATTGAATGGTAACAGCACTCAAACCGCCAGATTTTTGCAGATGCTTGCAAAAGAGAGTTAAAGAGAGCCTGTGCATCTAGTTCATTGACATGAGTCAGGTTTCAGCTCAACTCAGTT